TTTTGATGACAATATTATCAAAATAAAAAATGTCTATGATACTCATATTTGTGACACAAACATCTATAACATTCATGTCCACAACATTGATGTTTGTAACATTACTTTAACAAAGATCAATTATAAAGCCATTATTTAAAATTATTTATCTTAAAAAAATAATTTTAATTGTATGAAATATATATATATATATATATATATATATATATATATATATATATATATATATATGTAGTCTTGTATTTTTAAGTTTTTGTAACACATGATAAATATAAAATTCATACTCTACTATCTTTGTAGAATAGATTAAAATATTATTAAGATAATAAATAAAAATATTTTAAAAAACATCATTCATTAGATGATGAAAAGCAATTGGTACAATTGTAAGTCCAAAAGGTATAAATTTATATTTAAAATGTCTACATCTAGTTCAAAATGCAATCTTTCATTCATCTTTCTTTTTTAATATATATTAAATTATATATTTTTTATAGATATGTTTTTATATAGATCTTTGTGTGATTAATTGATCAAGAAATCTTAGTATTAAAGGTAGAAGGTATGTATTCTTAATGGTAATCTTATTAAATTCTAAATAATCTATAAAATACAAAATAATCTATATTTTATTTTTACAAACAAAATAGGTACTTGTGCTTAAGATTTTAAATAATACATAAAATTTTTGACCAAATTTTTATTAATATATTACTTGAATGAAGATAATTCATTTTGTGATGAGTTATAGATTGGTCCAAATAGCAATTGAGTTCCTTAAAGATAAATCAAGTAATTATGAAGATAGTATTCTAAAAATATATTTTATTTTATTTTTCAAAAACATCTTGATAATCTTTATATTAGTTTAGTTTAATATTTTTGCATCATTGATAAAGTATAAATAATAAAAGATAATATTTTTTTATAACGTACATAAAAGCTATTGTACCTACAAATAAAAATTTGTTTCTATTAAAGTTATGACTTTCTACTTAGTTAGCATAAGTCTTGATTATGCTATAAAAAAAACAAGATTATAAGAAATTAATCTATTCAAAGATTATATTTTTTTAGCCATGATCAATATAAAAAGATTAGATTAAAATAATATTTAATAATATTAAATACTACCAAGCTATAATAATGATTTTTTTCTATATATATATATATAATTTCAGGATAACATCTCTAAAAGATTAAAAAAATAATAAATAAAAAAAAATGACCATCTATGATTTTGATATGCATGAATTTAGTTTTTTTTTATTAAAGATATATTTTTTTTAAAAAAAATCTTTATTTAAAAAACAAGTTAAGGCTCTTGCATCTAACATAATAGAGGCTTTGTAATTGTTATGTCCTAAAAAAACATCTATTATGAAATAATATGAAAGTTTTAAAGAAAGAATAAGATCATAATTAGATATTGCAAAAAATTCTAACCAAATAATTTTTGTTGTAATTGAAAAAATTGTTTCTCTCTACATTATCTTTATTGACCATCATACTCCTTATTTTTTACTTTTATTGTTTTTTTGGATTACCAAATTTAGCTTTAATTTATTAGTCAAGCTCCAATATGTGATTTATTATTAATATAAAAGACAAATAAATGCAACAATATCAAAATAAATTCTACTAATAAAAACCTTTTATATTTAAAAAGGTTTGTACATAAGGCTTTTTAGAGCATCTTAAAATTCTTTAACATCGTTTGTTATACCAAATCATAACTAATCATTTGCCAATAACTTAGATACTTAATAATTTTAAAGAAAAACCATAATTTCTTTTTAAAAACTTATTTTTATATCATAATTGTATCATAATTCCATATCTCCATGTTTATCATAGATACAAAGTCTTAGCTCTCAAAAACTCCATAAATTTGGATAAAATGCTCAAATTGTAGCAAAATCCTTTCAAAATATTTTTTTTCTATAATAGAATTTTTCTCCTCAAATTTTAAAATTTCATATCTCTTAATTCAATTATTCAATTTTTTTCAAATTTCTAAGTAATTTAAAATTTATTATTAAGCTTTACCACAAAAAAAATCAACCATAAATTTACTACATATTATTTGGTATCTTAGAAATCCTAGTAGGTACTCTAAATTTCAATTTATAAGCACTTAAATATTATTATCTTCATATCTTAAAAATCCAAAATTTAAATTTTACAAAATTTATTATATAGCTTTATAACATAATAATAAAAATTTATTATAAATTTTAGCTAAAGATTCGTCTAAATGTCTAAGATATTGATGGAACCAAATCCCTCATGAAATTGGTTCATTAACAAACCTTAATTTAGAAGCACTATCTTCAAGCAGTTGTTGTTTTTCTTACTAGACCTCAAATATTTTATTTTTTTAATGAAAATATAGCCTTTTTAACCAAATTTTCAATTGTACAATCCGAACTTCAAAAGCCCTTTATATACATGTGTTATAATTTCCTTCACAAAAACTCAAAATCACACAAGAAATTTACCAAAAACGTATCTAAAATCCTAAATTTGACAACCCTAACCTCCGATGTTTAAATGTTCTCAAAAGAATAAGCCTAATTTGTAATAAGGCCTTGTGTAGCTTCCTTGAAGTCCATTGGATATGACTTTTGGCTAATAGGAATAGAGCTTTTCATCATTCATTTCTATTTATCTATATGGATAGCTTAATTATCCTTTTTTATGCAAAAATCCTTCTCTAATCTTTTTTCTAATAAGTTTTAGATAATATGTGCCTTAAACATCAATTAAAAGAAATAGAACAAGATTTCAAGAGTCACCAATGTCTAATAAAGGTGGCTCAAAATGTATAAAAATTATTATCAATATAAAAAATCAACCTCAATAGTAGCTCTTTTAGACTAATTACTTCAAAGTAGCAATCTAATCATATTTTATAACTAATTAAAATCTAATAATATGGCTCTCATTATATTATATAATAAATTGTATATTAAATAAATATGTGTATTATTTTTATATGGTAGCCAAACCACAATATGGCAATGTGGCAATGTTCTATAGAACTTTCAATACGTATTCAATTTACAAAACACATATTTTAACTTGCAAGGTAAGTTTTCTCTATATGTGCCACATTATTAGCTTGTATCACAAGCTACCCACATGTGTAACATATGGCTAACTTATTGCTAAGTTTCTAATCTATCAATTAATTATAAATATGTATAAAATCAAATATATGTCCATGAAGCTTTTAAAAAGCTATTTCATAAAAAAAATATCAAATCTACTTATATTTATCTTCTAGTTAGCACTTCTTATCTAAATAAATATGTATATTCTAGACATTTGTTTAGGATTTGTGTACGATTTTTTTAAATTAATTTGAATATTTTTAAGTTATTTTAAGGATTTTATTAGAATTTTGTTGGGATTCGAAAAGAATTTTTTAAATTTTGATTAGAATTTTGATAAAGATTGATAGATTCATTTTAAGATTTTATAAAGATTGTTTTGGATTACTTAGGATTTGATTTAAGATTTTTTGATGTTTGATTAGAATTGTTTATAGGATTGTTTTGAATCAATAAAAGAATATTATATTTAATCTTAAAATTTATCAAGTAAGGATCAAAATTTATGAATTTGAAAGAAATTAAAGATAAAAAAAAATAGAATGGTATTAAAAATATTAAGTAAAAACCATTTAATGACTAAAGAGGTGTTAGTAAAGCCCATATTTATAAAATCAAAACATGTCACGGCCATAATCATGTAAGCTAATAATTACATATAGAAATAGGTAGAAGTAAGTAAAAGTAGATAAAAGTAAGTTAATTCTATAATATTTAATATAGAAGCTTCTTAGAAACTTCCTAGACGTTGCTTTGACTTCATAGGTGTCTTTAATTGACTTTTTGGATTAGAAACGTGGTCAACAAGTTGGCCATGTGCCACACATGTTGTTAGCTTGAAGATCAAGCTAACTATGTGGCCCACATGTAGAAAAACTTGCCTTGTAAGTCAAGGCATGTGTCCTACAAAGTCAACACATATTGGAGGTCCTATAGAACGTCGCTACGTAGCCCCTAGTTAGATAGTATATATAGAGACAAGAGTGAAGGCTTCTTCACTCTTGTCAACTCCTTTCTTGCTTCTAGTCCAGGTTCAAGAGTCTTTAGTTTCTTGTCTTGTGGCAATAGCCATTCCAGTTTCCTTTTAATATACCTACTTGTTTATATTTTGACTTATTATATCGAGATAGCCTTTTGGTGTATATTTTCCTTCATTGAGTCTTTATCCTTGACAAAACATAGTCAATTGCCTTAGAAATGAATAAAGGGCATGTAAATAATCTTAAAATTATCTAAGTAAAGCCATATTTAGATAAGATAGATATTAATAAGTATATTATTTAAAATTGATAAAAAATAAAATTAATTAATTTGAGAATTTTAAGACAATTAAAATTACTAAAATAAGATTTTTTAAACACAATACATATTTATTTTTTTATTTCAAAAAGAACTTTAAAATAAGTTAAATTTATTTTATAATTATATATTTAATGCAATTTTAGACTAAATTTTACATAATATAATAATTTATACTTTGATTTTGATCTTTAATGTAATAATCGGTATTTAGGCAAAATTGACAAAAAAAAAAAATCAAAAGATTCAAATAATTAATGAATTTTAATTTTTTCTTATTAATTAACAAATTTTTGGCTTTTAATTCAAGCTTCTATCTTACATCTAACTCTATAGCTATTCTAAAACCTTGGTTCTGTAAAAACATTGTTATTTGATCTAAATTTAAGAACCTATCTTAAGTTGGCAATTGTCTTAAGTGCAATTTGTTATAAAACCTTTTAAAATGTGTTTTAAAAATATGAAAGTCAATACTTAAAAAGAATTGGAATATAAATTTCTTTCAAAATTCCAAATAGCTCTTGGATAGCATTTCAAGTCCCCATCTTGGAATATACAAAATCCAATACAAGACATGTAGGATGATTGAAGTAAAATCTTCTACATCTTAAGATACAAACAACTACAATCAAGGTTTTTGGCCAAGGACTACAATTAGTGCTTCAAGGCCTTCCTTCCACTTAGAAAAGCCATTAACAACCAACTTTGCAAGCACAAATCATGCCATTACCATTTCTTTGTATAGTTTGTGTACCTTCCCATTCCTGTACCTTCCGATTTATGTCAACTTTCAATTCTATACATTAAAACAATCTAGCATAACTTCTGGAAAATCTGGATGGTAGAGACTCACCCTTACTGTTGTATAGTATATAGTATGATGAATTGGATGTGGGCGCTTTTTCACGGTCGAATTTGTAGAAGGCGATAGCCTCTTGCTATTCAATAAGATCCATTGAGAGGGAGATTGGAGAAAGGGTCTATTGCAACATTCCTCGAGAGGCCTGGCGTTGTTTGTCATGTCCCCCTTTTGACGCAATTGGTGCTTTAAGTCATGGCGCACAGAGTCGTTCTGACCGAGCTCCGAGAGCCCTAAGACGAAAAACAGTAACAAAATAATAACCAACTATTTAAAAAAACAAAAATAAATAAACAAAACAAAATCTGTGAGGTCAAATATCCAAGAGATGTGGTGATTCCAGCCTCTTACTGACTGGTGAAGTGAAGGCTTGTTGATCTGGATGCTCTGCTGCAGCATGTCAGGAGGGGCCCTTGGCAGGAAGACGCTGGCACTGTGCATGCACGTTATTGGGTCTGTGCTGTAGATTGTTGGGTCCTCCACAGGATTCCAGTGGAACAAGCTTGTTGCATCATGAGGAGGAGGAGAAGGAGGGAGAGGTCATCGGCGGTAGGCACACAGCATGGGTAGCACCTTTGTTTCGTCTGTGACGAGTGCCACACCCTGCGGGTTAAAAGCGAGGTTGCGGCTCCGCCGGAGATGACAGGGGCGTGTCTGGCGCGGCTCGACATCCAAGCGCCAAAGCCTCTGCACACAACGCCACCTCGAGATTTCCGCCTCCTCACTGATCGTCATTGTCATGCTCCTCCCTCCTTATCTACACGTGTGCTCTCTCCCTGCAAACTCCCTCTCCAAGCCGTAAATATGGGAAGAGGCAGTACAAGATTATGGCTTGATGGGAGAATCGCTTGGTTTCTAGGCACATGGATACAACTGTACTGACCTCGCACGACAGCCTTTGATTGTGTATGCGTGGGAATGCGAGTGTGAGCTGAGGAGATTATGCCTGCTCAACGAACTTCCAATAATATCGACCAAGACTAGTCAAGTTGGTGATCCCGGGCCGACTGAGAGAATATTGGAGTAATTCACGTTTGTGTGTCTACAGTGTTGATGCGTACCTAGCCAAGGATCAAATTGAGGGCCTGCACGCACTGTTCCTGGCTTTCGAAGAAGAAGATTACAAGATAACTTGTCTCGGATGTTCGCCGGCCTGATCGTCAATATCCAGTGGAGCCGCCCACTAGAAAGATAGTTTCGGCTTCTATGTTATATGGCCGTCGTCAGAAACCACATCAAAAAAACCAGACAGGTGGATATGTGTGAAAGGAGAGATCGTGAGTATTGAATTCTCAGCCGGAGTATATATCAATGTCACGAATTGAATGACACAAACGCATGCAGAGCATGTCGACCAGGTTCATCAAAAACCTAGAGAGGCAGTCACATAATAAGGGAGGAACGAAAATATCCTAAGTGATTGATAGCAAATTCCTCCCAAGGTTCGAAGTTAAAATTGAGGCACACCATCTTCTTCCAAGACTCTGGGGGCTTACTCGTGAAGATCAGTCATTCGACAGGCTGCAGAATGTGCATCCAAAGGAAAGATTTATGGAGCAAATATTACATTGCATTGCACACCTTCGTCCTTCTTGGACATCTAAAATATCGTCGTGTAAAGCAACCTTGAGCCAAAATTCCTCCGAGAAGTCATGAGTCTCTGAAAACGTGACTCCATATATCACAAACAGGAAACCGAGAAAACGACTTCGCTGGTTTCTTCCGTTTTTCGTTGATAACTATTGTATTCCAAGCACGCCAATCCAAAGCGTCGAATGTAGCCCACCGCTCAAACGACGTTACCTACCAGTGACCATGCGAAGTAGCTGCAGACGTTCGACCCGCTTGTGCAACGTGAAGTCCCACTCTTAATTTGTATAAGTCAGTCTTACTCATATTCTTTGTAACAGAGTGATTCACATTGTGCTGGGAAAAACAAGAAAAAAAAAACAAAAAAAAAAAAAAAAAAAAAAAAAAGGAGCAAGAGCAAGATGAAGGTTGGCCTTACTCCATGGACTCAAGATCAGCGCACAAGTGATTTTCAGACAGAGCGATGTGGTTCAAGTCGTACGAGAAATCCGTGATAGGCTTGCAGTGTAAAGTAGACAAATACTGTTAGCTTTGTATCAGCAACTAAGATATCCATATCTTCACTCACAAATCACACTTCAAAAACTTCAGAACTCTTCAGAACCTGCAAATCCTTAGGTCCACCAAGGTCTCTTCACAATGCCCCCAGGCAGCGATGTACAACCACTCTGACAGACCTGCGAATCTCTAACATAAGGGGAGTTAGATGCAAGCAAACGTGCAACGACGAGAGGAAGAAAATAAAGTTCAACGATTTAGGGCTACTCATGAAGCGGAAAGTGTACACGCGATTTTAAAATTGGTATCTGATTGCAAAATGTCGCTGTAGCGAAGCATCATGGTTATGGAGTAAGAGAGGAATTTAAAACTCGGGGAAGGATGAAGAATTGCTTCTGCACGGACAAGAGCAAAGAGACACGAATGTTCACCAGCAACTGAGGACGAATTCCCCTGGCCCTGCCATTGGTAGCTGGTGAGTGCAATCCCAGTAACGGTGCCGCTGGATATAAACCTGAAAGATACAGGCCAATGAAATCCAATGATCCTTTCAGCAAATGCTAGCTAGCTGGCAGATAATACAGCCGTGCCCACGATCACTGAGTAAAGGCCGCAGTATACTGAATTGAGAAAACTGACAAGGATGGGTAACAAGTCACGAGAAAGTTACATCAACATCTGACGACAAAAACAATTCCATGGACCGAATCATCAAAACACCCAGGCCTTTACTTCCCACCTGCGCAACTGGAAGAGGACATGCAGTTCTGCAGATTACAGAAGCAAAGGGATTGGCCACCAGCTCGACCTCGCACTCCACCCAAACTACCCGTTACGCCAAGCTGGGCTGCTTTTAATTTTCTCTTTCTATAAATTTCCACAGATGCAACATTCGGAAGGGGCACATTGCGGGGAGCTCCAAGGAAAGGCTTCCTGGCTGTAAAATCAGCGGAAAATTGTGCTTCATTCGGAGCGCACCATCAACGTACATGAAGCCGATAAAAACATGACCAAAACTTTACTCTATTACCGAATGCTTCAGCTTACTGTACATGAACCCAATTTTTGCCATGAACGTCGTTGCTTCGCAATTCGGTGACCCCAGTTAGTATCGCAGTTCTTCGCTGTCGAATGCGAATCCACGCATTCTCTGGGGGGAATGCAACCCAACCCGTAAGCGTACAAGGGGTTGCGGGATTGATTCCTTGAAGTCTGCAGTGTCTGATTGTTAGCTGCTGCAAAACCATGACGGAAATGCAACGGAAACAAGCAAAAACCCTGAAAATGGCAGTGGATTTGAACCCTAAATTTGACGTCGGTGAAATTGTTGCGGCGTTATGGTGTCGCTCCATCTGCACGAGAGCTCCAACAAAATCCCACCCCATCGCCATCGCCCTTCAAACGACGACTATTCTTACAAAACACATTCACACACACACAAAATGGAGGCAAAACCCTAAAATTATGAACACGTTTTCCTTGAGAATGCTTCTTTGTTAAGCAACTGTTAAATGTTGTCAACTATTGTTCATTTGTCACGTATATTTCTGGTTAGTTTCTTATGGATATCTTAATTTCATAGAATTTTTTTCTTGTGTTTAGCATAATTAAGGTTATGTGTGGTTTTAGAGATATTCAAAGTTAGAAGATGGTGTTATCAAATGTCACAAAAATAAAAATGAATGTTTGTGGTGGTGACATTATTCTATTGTTAAGCGCCCTTGATTGATGACTTCTTGGATTTACAAGGTGCTTTTAATGTTATTTATTATTAAATACAAAAATCTATAATATTTTTTAATATTATTTATTGTTTAAAAAAAGAGTTTTTATAGTTAGAAGAGGGATCAAGAGAAAGCAAATTCTAAAATTGGTAATTGGCAAAATTTGTGAAGTCCTTTCAAATTGGCATTCCACTTTAAATATCAACTATGAAAACAAAAGATGAAAGAACAATGCATTTATATCTTTTATGAAATGAATAATATTATTCTTTAGAATTTTTGTTAGATACATCTCAAAATGTGGTTTGCACAAAAATTTAAGAAGACAAATCAAATATATTTTTTAAGGTACATCTCAAAAAAACTAATTAATTTTTAAAAAATCTGCAACAACTACAATAATTAAGATTTAAGCTATTATGGTCAAAACTATAATACATATTAATTTATTATTAGTCATGACTTCTTCTCACTTCAAATTATTTTCAAATGCCAAAGATTACAAATCATAATTTTTCTTCTAAAAACTAGAGATATTTCTAAAACTTTTAGACTATGACTTTTTTAATGAATGTATAAGACACAAACCACAAAATATTGTTATACAAACATAACCAAGTTAATTCTAATTTTTTTGTGATTTAAAAGAATAATAATTATAGAAAAATGTTAAAATGATCCACCCAATTAATAAATTGATCCATCCTATTAAGCGAAACAAAAGAGAACAAGGGAGGTTGGGATGAAGAAGGCTCACAACAAAAGAAGCAAAGATGGATATGAGAGGGAAAAGGTTGAGTGCCATGATTGTAATGATGGTTTCCAAAGATGATCCATTTTTCTAATGATAGATGTAATAGAATAAATTGATTTAGTAATTGGATACATCACTTTAGCATTTTCCTATTTTTATAAACATTCAAAGTAATTACATTAAATAGTCATGTACATATCCTATGAAGTTTATGTTATAATTATCTTAGCTCTCAAATATATAAAGAAACATTTAATTGGTAGAACACCATATTTTTTAAGTGTGAGTACATAAATTTATTTATTTGATTGTATTTGATGAATTATATACAAAAACTAGAAGAAAAAAAAAGTTTGTTAATCACATTTTTTTGAAAAAATAAAACTAGGTGTTTTAACATTTTGTCTTTAAAAAATGCCTTTATTTATAAATAATTGGACTAATATCTAATATAATGGCAATATTTTAGAAAGTTTTGCTTTTAAATAATATAAAGTTAAGTGAATTCTAATTTATAAATCATAAATGTCATTTTTGAGAGATCATGGAGTGCAAAAATAAGATGTAAGAAAAGGAAAAAAAAAAAAAAAAAAAAAAAAAAAAACTGAAACTGAAACTTCAAAGTGACACATTTTCCTCTTCAATTATATGAACAATATTTATTTATATGTAGAAATATATATATATATATATATATATATATTACTATGAAAAAATCTTTTTATCAGTTTACAAATTGCAATAGAAACAAAAAAAATTAAGATATAAGAATAACATAAAGCATATTATGTAGTGTTTTCAAATTATGTATAATTATATGAGAAAACACAAACTCACATACACACACACACACACACATATATATATATATATATATATGTATTTTTCTTCTGACACTCCACAAAACTTGTGTATTTAGTTTACATTGAAATAGGGCCAAACACAAGGTTTAAGTAACTAGTATTAAGACAATTTTCTTTTAAAAATCTTATAAAAATGGTCCACTACATAGTATAAAATCAAATGTATATATATATATATATATATAGTATTAAATAATTATGAATGATTTAAATTTTGTTTGATTTCATACATCATGATTTGGTAAAAAGAAAAGTAAGTAAATTCAATTTTTGATAAACACAACAAAGGATTATGATTGTACCATCTCTTTGAGGACAAATAATCGTTTTTCAGAACTTGTTCTCACTTAAAACAAATATATTCCGTCACTGATACACATGTGTTTTCATTGATTTTAAAAAATAAAATAAAATAAATAAAAAACACAAACACACCTCAAGACTGATTATACATCCATATACATATATATATATATATATATATAAGTGTGTGTGTGCTTTCATGTTTATGTTTCTACACCCAAAAGGAAACAGCTAAAAGAAACTCATAGAAGTCTCTAGTAATACAACTTTCATGCTTAAATTTTCCTTTAAAAAAGAAGAAGAAGAAAAAAGACACCTACACATACACAGAATACATGTAGTTTACTGAGAAGACTCAGAATAAACATTTAATACAATGCTTGAATTAGAAACCTTTTTAAAACTTTATAAGAAATCTAAGGTAATGAACCATTCAAATTTAGGCTTGTGGGATTCTCACCCTGGGACCATTTATGCAAATCCCTATGGTATTATGCCACCTGGCGCGCAACGTCACTCTTGTTGCTGACGTCACCAGCGGAGTTCTACCGGTCCCATTGGGTCCACCCAACAGCAGCAGGCCAACACATTCGTTCCGTCAATGTGTTCCCAATCAGAAAAAGCGCATCGGGAACGGTTCGAGGAACTGGGAACGAATCGAACATCCACGCCCCGTGCCCAAGAACCGGCCCTGGAAAGTGGAGTCACCTTTGCACATGATTTTGACCAACGACGAAGCTTCGTCCTGTTCCCTCGTGGAGGCTTCTGGAATTGAGCGTTCTCATGACGGGTTGCACGTTCGGATAACCAGAAAGGACGGGGAACATGAATTGAACGCCTTGGCTTTATGAGTTCGCATTCGTTCCCCTGACCCTACCGCGAACTAACTCTCCTGCCACCAAACACATTCAAAAACAAGCTTTTGGTTAAATACGTAAATGTTTATACTTTTTGCAAGAGAACCCTCATTTTTTTTTCTTTACTGGGTGAGTAAATAAAGTAGTATATTGTTATTTAATTTGGAAGGTTGTAAGAATTTGTTGATGATTTCTATTGAATTCATGCCTGACTCGCATTAAAAGGATGATGCCCATACAACCACGTGTATGACAAATTTTATTCGTAATGCACATTTGGGTCGTAAGGGAATAGTTCAAATTTGTTGGTATCTCATCCATTTGTACGTTAGATTTTATTGTTGTTGCATCTTTATACATACTTACGTGAATGCATGTATTAGTACTCTTGGGTCCAAACTGTAAAGCTTGTATAACTATTGATGTATTGTTGTATTAATTACATGCAACATTATTAATGTCAACTGTTGGTTACTAGTTCCAGAAGTTTTGTTGTTGGTATTTTAGAATGTATATGTATTTTTATATGTTTCACTCAAACATTTAAATAAGTTTGAAAAAGCATAATGGAATGAATGGAGTAAAATAATAAATAAATAAACAAATGAAAGACACAAAGAAAATAAGGAGGAAAAAAAAACAATAATAATTCTCTACATACGTATATAAGGTATAACATTGTCTTCAAAGGTTTAGAAAAAAACATTATAGCTGAAAATTAAGTACTAAAATATTACATATTTATTTATTAGTTATAAGTGTGTACTAAGTATTTGATTCATTGCAAATGTATATATATATATATATATATATATATATAAAGAAAAACAAATGGTGAATTGTCTCAATTTTTTAAAAATTGAATTGAAGATTATTTTGATTGCATCTTTCATTACAATGATATAACATTTTCATTTTTTTGGTAATAATATCTAATTTCGTAGCTAATTTAGACTTGTGGGATCTTTATTTTTTTCAATGTATGATTAGATTATTATTAATATGTTTACAAACAGATAATGGATTCTTTTTTTCTTCTTACCCATGAAAAAAATTCGGACTAGAGTTGATTTTTTCATCAAAGCAATATGTTTTGAAATTTTTCATATATATATATATATATATACATATATAATCAGAAACCCTTGAAAGGTTAGAGACATAGAAACTATGTTTAGTATCACAAATATTACTGTTGTGTTGTTATAAATGTTATGAACTGTTATAAGTATTGTGTGCAATATGCTTCCTCTATTCCTGAAAATAAATAAGTACTACAACATTTCATTTGAAGGTTGTGAGTGAACTTATGAAAGTGTATAAAATTTAAAATTCAATAAAAGTGAAGTGGAATAAAAAGTATATTCTTTTATTTGTTTTGTTATTTCAGTTTTCCGTACTTTGTCTTGATTATGTAGTTTTTGTAGGACGAAATCCAATATTTAATTTATTTACAAACTTAGCATTTTTTCAACGTTTTGATTTTATTTGTTTTTTTTTATTATATTTAAAGAAAGGTTTTAGGAACCAATCTAAAAACTTTTGACTTCTTGTCTCTGTTAGTAAATTTAAAAACTTTCTAACATTTTCATATAACATATTTGTTAACCTACGTGAATATTCTATGTTGTAACATTATAAAATCTCCATGTGTTCCAAAAATACTTTGACCTTGTTTGATTACATTATGCTGTTTTTACTTTGCACATGTTCTCATTGGATTTGGTTTGTAGCAGCAATGGCTAATTGTTTAAGTGTTTGGATAGCACCACCCAATTGTCAACAAAGTGAAAATTATTGCATTACATATGCACATGTTCTTGTTGCTTAGATGAGTTTACAATACCAATGAGCAGATTTTATCTTTTGTATATAGTTCATAAATTTAAACAATATTTTGAAACAACACTGTTTTTACAAGTGTATAATAAAACAATAAAATAAATAATATATGCACATGCATGTATCTCAAGACCAAAGTGATTGACACAAGCTACAATATCTCTATTTCCCAACTCTATTTAAGTATACATAGAATAATTCTATATTATTGCATATCTTATATATATATATATATATATATATATATATATTAGAAAAAACAAAAATCCAGAATGAAGGCAACATTGCCAAACTACAAGATAAAAATAACAATAAACAAAAAGTTATAATCTAGTACAAATCACAAATTTATCTCCCACACCAAAATAGTTTCAAACCCTAAAACCCAAACCCCCAAAATTCCCCAAATCTCTGAACCCTATCCACCTCTCATGACTCCACTTTGACTACCCCCACACACTCCCCCCCCTGGATATGACTGGACTCATACAAAGACCTACCCACAGCCCTAAAATGCAGCAGACACTTTATAGCAACAGACTTTATGCATGTGTGTGTTCTGAGGTGCTTTGCTTAGATACACCATCAAATTGAGGCAGAGGTATGAGAGGCAACATGGGGGAAAATACCAACAAAAAGAAGGTGGGTGTGTGGGAGTGTATGTGGGATCCCACCTCAGGAGCTGCCTAAAACCAGGAACATCTCATCCAAGGGCTGCACAAAAGAAAACGCCAATGACAAAGAGCACGCGCGGGTTAGGCCAGCCCAACCCAGCCCAGCCCAACTCAGGGCAAGTCAGTGGTACGGCATTCATAGAATCATACAACGCAGTCGGGCAGGTACTTAACCTGTCATGCACCCATATTAGCAAGCTCCGTTGGCGGAATACTAATGGGTGGGGGTCGGGCCGGGTAGGAGGTGCCCGGCGCTCCCTGCCCCGGCCGGGGCAAAGCTAGAGCGGGATGGGGGATTAGCGACGAGCATGCTCTGAGGAAAGGGAGGGCGAGAGCGCGGGGCATCCGTCGTGGCGGGGCTTACACAAGCACAGCGCGGGGGCTGCTGTAGATCATTTCTCGAGGCACTTGCCTTGCGAGAGAGGACCGTGATCGTGACGCGCCTCCCGCACGCTCTCACCCAGCTTCGCTTGGTACCCTCCCCCTTGCTCTTGCTTCCATTGTATTGCTCTCTCTGCCCACCGTTTGATGTGGGGGTTTGTTTTTTCAAAAAATAGTTGCTGTCGTTTTGCTTATTACTTTTTTTCATGGACTTTTTTCTTGGTACCTCTTGACGTGTCTGAAGTCGTCGTTGCTTAGAATGGCTTGAGGTTCGTCTGTTTTCGTTTGTCTTTTTTGATTACTAAGTTTTGACAGGTGGGTCGGTTGTGAGTTGCAGTGGTGCTGGCTGTTGGGTTGCGCAATGGGGGATCTTCAGAAGCCCCTGCGGCCGAAGAAGCGCACGACCTGGGTGGATTGGGCGGTTCAGTTCCGGTGGATCCTGGTTATCCTTGTTGTGCTCCCTGTTTCGAAGAGCTTTGACACTGTTGCCTGGTTCCGGGAGCAGTGGTCCGCTTTTAAGTCCGAGAAGAGGCGTCAGAAGGAGCATGACGAGAATGTCGAGAAGGTGATCAAACGCTTGAAGTCGCGAGATCCCTCCAAGGATGGCCTTGTCTGTACCGCTCGGAGGCCCTGGATTGCCGTTGGTATGCGCAATGTGGACTACAAGCGGGCTCGCCACTTCGAAGTCGACCTTAATGATTTCAATCAGGTTCGGTTCCTGCTAGTAGCCCACCGAATGTTTCCATTCGCGACGCCTTGACTGTGCGCGGGAATGCACCCGTCCGTGCATGTCACCGGACTGCCGAGGTTCCCTCGGTACCGGTGTGTTAGTCGAGAATGACATCGTACTATCTATTGCTTACCGGTCCTGCCTCTACCTTGAAGTCTCCGGTACCTTTGGACAGGGGACTTTACGTACTTTCAGTACTGACTCACGGGCACAAGTGCCTGGAGTGCGACGGTCTTGTCAGTTGTGGCATTTCTCAGTTAAATCACGTGAATCTACATTACTGTACCAGCTTCTAACATCGCTGTCCGTTGCCTGGAACTGCGCTGTCATCTGCGCCCCTGGTTTGTCGAAGGGGTTTGGGGAACAAATTCATTGGTAGTTTTTTGCATCTAACGGATGGTAGATTCGTTTGTTATTTTCCAGGTCTTGGAGATCGACAGGGAGAACATGATCGCCCGGTGCGAGCCATTGGTCAACATGGGGCAGATTACGCGAATGACTGTTCCCATGGGACTTTCCCTTGCTGTCGTCGCAGAGCTGGACGACCTGACAGTTGGTGGTCTCATCAATGGATATGGAATTGAGGGAAGTTCTCACATCTATGGCCTTTTCGCCGACACTTGTGTGGCGTACGAGATCATCCTTGCTGATGGACGCCTTGTGCGCGCAACAGCAGACAACGAGTTCTCTGATTTGTTCTACGCCATTCCCTGGTCTCAGGGTACTCTAGGGTTGCTGGTGGCTGCCGAAATCAAATTGATTGAAGTCGGTCCGTACATGAAAGTGACGTACAAGCCCGCTAGAGGTGACCTGCAGGAGCTCGCCCAGGCCTACAATGACTCTTACATACCCCGTGATGGTGACCAAGATAATCCCGAGAAGGTCCCGGATTTCGTTGAGACTATGATCTACAGCGAGACTGAAGGAGTGACTATGACTGGCCGATACGCCAGCAAGGACGAAGCCAAACGGAAAGGGAACAAGATCAATTGTGTATGCTCACCTGAGCCCCGGTGCTCTGATGGATGTGCCTTCGTTCGATTCCATTGCAAAACTCCATACCGTAGCGATACTTTGGCCTTTTTACCTGTGGCATGTTATACTTGCCTCTGCTGTGGTATTGTTACGAGGTGAATCTTACATGTCTACGTGCTTGTGCAGCAAGGTTGGTGGTACAAGAAATGGTTCTACCAGCATGCACAAGAAGCCCTGACGAGAGGAGAATTTGTTGAGTATATCCCCACAAGAGACTACTACCATCGTCATACCCGCTGCCTCTACTGGGAGGGCAAGTTAATCCTGCCCTTCGCCGATCAGTTCTGGTTCCGGTACCTGTTCGGTTGGATGATGCCACCGAAGGTTTCATTCTTGAAGGCCACACAGGTTAGCTTCTGATGCTCTTAAGAGCATTGACGCATTTTGGGGGCAGTTTATGTTAAGCAGAAACGGTTTGTATCGCGTGGCTACTCTCTCCCCAAGGACTTCAAAATTGTTTGGCATTGATATCTAGCTCTTTCTTTTTTCAGGGAGATGCCATCCGGAACTATTACCATGAGCGACATGTCATTCAGGACATGCTTGTGCCTTCATACAAGGTCGGCATGGCTCTTGAATTCAGTGACCGCGAATTCGAGGTAACCCTCTTAATCGCCTTGCAACCGATGCTTAGAGGCATTGTATGCCGATTGCCGGGGTCTCGATTTCTTTCCCAATGCAGCAAGAGAGGTTGTCCTGTTATCCTTCCCCTAATCTAGTGTTTTCCCACTCTTGTAGGTGTATCCTATTTGGCTGTGCCCTCACCGTTTATTCAAGCACCCGATGAGAACCCAGATCAATCCTGAGCCTGGATTTGAGTACGCTGGACGCCCAGGAGACACTCCATATGCTCAGATGTACACTGATGTTGGTGTATATTATACACCTAGATGCGTGTTCAAGGGGGAGGAATTCGATGGGGTGGCTGCCGTCAAGAAGATGGAAGCCTGGATGATTGAGAACCATTGTTTCCAACCTCAGTACGCGGTCTCTGAGCTCAACGAGCGCGACTTCTGGCGCATGTTTGATCCTACCCTTTACCAGAGATGCCGGGACAAGTACAAAGCTGTCGGCACCTTCATGAGCGTCTACTATAAGTGCAAGAAGGGGAGGAAGACGGAGAAGGAAGTGGCTGAGGAAGAGGCTAAAGTCACGGAGTCTGCATATGCTGACGTCGAGAAGCCCGAGTAGAGTGACCCCTTCTTTAGTCAGGAACTTGTATGTAAGATTTGTGGATTTCCTTAAGGTTGCTGAATATCGAGTTGAGCCATTTATACTGGGCAAATTGTTGAGTCTTTGTGAAAGCGAATCCTCTCGATTCAGAGACTTGTTGGCTCGTTAGGTCCCTGTCAGTTCTGTCAGTGCTTCCAGAGAACTTCGGCACTAAATGGCAGTTCCTGCGGGACCTGTCTGTGCTGATTCAATCATCTCAGCACCAGCTGTGCTGCTGTTGTCGGATTGGTGTGTAAAGAGAGACTGTCCAAACTCACTGTCAGTCTCATTGCTTTGTGAATGTCGCCAATTTCAGTGCCTACTATGAGGAGTAAGCGTTTAGATTTGGACCCCACCATCGTCCATCTCCTGAATCAACGCCGTCATCCCCATAAGCAGTAAATCATTAAAATCCTTCACAATCAAGAATGCCATTAGCATAACGCCAATCTCGTGCCCCTATTCAACAGTGAAAAACTCATAATAATTCACTTTTCTCGTTAACTAAAAACACCTGTGGAATGTTGCAGATCCCTGCAACCGAAGAACACTGAAGATACGCCTGCAAGCTGCTCTTTAAATATCTCACGCAAATTCTGTCCTCTTTCACTATCACGAAAATGCCGCAACAGTCTGGAAAATATCTGTCCTGTCGGTGGATTCGGAGATTTCTCACCCACTCTGACAGACTTCTGTACCTTGAACATTTAGCAGTTCTGCCTCACACGTTAATTTAAAATTATACACTGTACTGGACAATGTACAGAACCGAAACCTTGATAACCTTGAAAGAGGACCCTTAATTGACACTTGCTGGAATAGTTGGTGTCAGTGTAGTCGCTGTATTCACATCAGAAGATACCCGGCCATGAAAAAAAAAACTCCTGGACTTGTACCCTCAGAGAGGCTTTGTTCCTTAGTATGAATGAATGTGTTACACATTCATCTTTTTCAACAATTCGAGCAGGTCCAAAAGTCTTTCACATGCATGGTTGTTGTCGAAGCCATGAGCGTATCTCAAAATGTCAAAAAACGATCGATATGCATCAAGAATGATAGCATAATAAATTGTAATCTCTAGTACAAAGCGTGTAGGAAAGCACCCATTAGTGCGGCTGCGTGAAGAATTTGTATACCGGCTTATTTACTTATCTATTTATTTATTTATCTGTTCATGTTCTGCATCCCATCCGTTCCTTCCTAAAGGTTTGAGTTCTTCAAAAATCCGTATGTTTTTACTACGATTTCTCTTCTTCTTCGTCTTCTTCGTCTTCTTCGTCTCCTCCTCCTCCGCAGCCGAGAGAGGCCTCGTTTGCGAAGGATGACAATTAAGCTTCTTCACTTGCCTCCGTCCCCCTCTCCTCCTCGAAAAAGCGCCGAACTGCACCCAACCACAACCACCTGGCTTACTGGCTGGATGATGGGAACTCGTGGTGAACTTCATGAGAACGCGATCTCCACAAGTTCCCCTTCCAGATGACCAGAATCCCATCTGGCTGTGTGAACACATCTACGAATGAAAACGGATTCGATGGATGACCTTTTGACGAATATTCCAGTTAACAGTCACAAAAATATAAATAAATCGGTTTGTGATGGATTAAAATTAGGTGACAACAGTTGGAGTGAAACGAAAAAAAAGAAAAAAAATCCAAAACTTAAATTATATCAAACAATTATATATGTTTCATACAGCAACTGTAGTAGAAGATTATTACGAATATTTTAATATATAAATTTCAATAACACGAAGTAAATAGTTTTGAGCTACATGATTTATTTAGATAATAACATGTTCATTTTTTAATTTTATTTTTTATTAAAATTTTAAATTTCTTTTGCATTATTCTCTTCTAATTAAAAAAAATTTAATCCCAAAATTGTAATGTAACCAAGTTAAACATGATCTATTTTTAATAAACTTGAATATGTAAATACACACACACACACACATACATATATATATATATATATATATATATACATATGAGATTGATTTAAATAAATTACTCAGACGATAATATCTTAACATATTTATTAATTATAAACAAATAAACATGTCTTTGCTTACACATAAAGAATATAGACGTATATTATGTTACTTGTATCATTAGTGCCTTTAATATATATATATATATATATATATATAACATCAGAGTTGGATCATTAAATTTGATTCTTAAGTATTTAAGAAAATATTGAATTTATAAATAAAATTTTAATGATATTCTATTCATTAAAGCAAATTAAAAATTCTTGTTTTTGTAACAATTAAGTTCTAGTAATCATGTTTTAAATTTTTGTTTGCTTTTTATTATATATATAATTTTTTATTGACTAAACTCTTATATATCTATACATATATAGATTAATTATTATAAGTAATTGATTTTCATTTAATTTTATTTATGAATATGAGTAATTAATTATAAAATTTGATTAAATATGTAGATGTGATGAGAGGAATAGAGAAGAAAAGTTAGAGAGAAAGAAAGAGAGGATTGGATGAGCAGAAGATTAAATTGTTGAGTTAATGTTTTTTTACATAGAGTTAGGTTGGTTTTTATGCTTTAATCTTAAAATTTGATTTGCATATATTCCCTAATTACAAAGTAATTTATTACTTAAATCATAAGTCAAAATAAATCAATTTAATATTAGTAATTGATAATATTTGATTATATATATATATATATATATTACAATAGAAGATATTAATACCTGAAAAGATAAATATTACAATTACATATTAAAAGAATAATATTTTTTTTTGTTTAACTTGTTAATATACTTCTAATACACATTATTGTATTATTTGAAATTTATCATAAGAATGCATTAAGCATTTGTCTATAAAAGAGCTTTAACATATTTGAAGATTTTTTTAGTAGCAAAAAAAGAATTACATAGGGTCTTCAACAATACTTGTCTTAGCAATTGTGGTTTTTTTAGAATCCTTCACTTAATACATTTTTACTTCTATCAATTTGAAATCACATATGTGTCACTACCAGCCATAAAGCTGATTCTTTCTATGACTTGAGGAGAAATAAAAATATTAAAAAATAATATATATATATATATATATATATATATATAAATTATTAATCATATTCCTAGATGGCATTACTTACCTGTTTTTCAAGGTCATTTTTATGCCCTTTACTTATTTCTAGGAAAATTGAATTTATTTTATACTCTTGGATGTACACTCTATTAACTTATCAATCCTTACAAATTATAAAATTAACTTATTAAATCCTTGAAAAATCCAATTTGAATCTAAAATAAATTCTTATTAAATCCTTACTAATTATATAAAAAAATTAAATTCTAATCAATGCTAGAGAAATTCTAATCAAATTTTAATCAATTTAGAAAAAATATATCCAAACTTTAAGCAAACCATTGGTTTGTTGTAACATGGCTAATAGGTTAAAGAGAAAAGAAAAAGATCTTATTTTAAAACCTAATAGAAAATTATCTTAGAAATATAGATAATAGTCAAGGATGTAGAAAAATGAATAAGTGATAATGCTCCTTTTTTCTTAAATGGGGTTTTACTTACTTTATATAGTTATGATATAAAACATAGGTTTTGTTGTTCTACTTTGTTTTGTCTTTTTTATGGCCCTATACAGTACCATAAAAACCTATGTTTAATATCGTAATGATATCAGATAAGATTAAAGATATTATATTATAAAATTATATGAACTTTAATTATTTAAAAAAAAAGAAATGATAGGAGAAACTTAATCTTATATTTTTAATAGATATAAATTTTATCTTATTCTTAAAAATGTCAATATTTTTAATTTTAAAAAGTCTCTTTTTCTATCTCTTTTATTATATATAAATATATCTATATTATCCTTATAATACTTTTATATAAATATCTAAATATCTAATTTAATGAGTCTAAAAATCATTATTTAAGGTGTAGAATTAGAAAATAAATAGTACTATTTGAAATAATACATTGGTAATTTTTAAGCCTTATACTTCCTATTTTGATTAAAAATGATTATTTAGAAAAAAATATGGGAATTTTTAAATTAGTCCAAGCATTCATTAAATGGACCCACCTATCTTAACCATCATCAAAATGTTCTCTATTTTTGGATCCACAACCAATGAAAAGAAGAGCTTAAGAATTTGTATGCAAATTTATGATGATGGGTGCATTGATTTAGTTTATGCTCCAATCAATTTAATAGTTCCTAAAAATCTTATTGCCATATAGTATTGTTGCAAAAGTTCTAATTATTTTCTAGTTGGAGTAGTTTAATGCTTAATAATTTGACTATTTGTAATAAATGCAATGCATATACTGATATACATATATTTTTTTATACATAGAGCTCTAAAATAGAGATTCTTTATACTTAATAAAGTAGGCAAGATGCCACTAGTTTTAAATCTTTGATTACTTAATATTGAAGAGCCATGTATTTTTATATTTTAAATAATTAATCAAATTTTCTAATTTAAAAGTTTAGATGGAATATATGTATATATATATAAAAATAATTTTCCAATAGGCATGCCTTAAAAAAATATATTCTACAAAAATGTAAGTTATTAAGTAAAATATTTTATAAAAAAACTTTAAAATATTTCTAGATTATTTTTTAAAAATATTATTTTATAATTTTAGAGTCACACTATGATTTGATATATTTAAATTTCTAATAATGAATAAGTTTTTAAAATTCATAACATCTTCTTTATTGTCTCAAAAAACCAGAGCTCTTTATCTAGAATTTTTTTTCCTCATAAGAAACCTTAATAAGATTTTACTACTATGAATTTTTAAAATATGATTTATTATAATTGATATGTATACTACTTAAATTATTATATTTTAATAAGAAAAAAGTAAAAACAAGTAAAATTATATTAAATAATATATCTTTTAAAAACAAATTAAGAAGTGGTTTTTAGATATTTTTCTAGTCTATGAATTCTTTTACATTTTCCATGTGGTTTTTTGAAGTATTTAAAAAAAATATATATATCTTAAGAAGCAACTATAAAGGCATCCTCTAATTTACATACTTAGCCTATAAATATTAAGGCTCATAGGGAGCTTCT